GGGTGGTCGTCTGCCCGCGTGCTTCCCGGCTTTCCTCCCCGTCGCCCTGGTCTGGGGAGACGTGGAGCAAAGCCGCGGAGCACGCGGGCAGTGGACAGCCCAGACGCGCCGCGGCTGTCCCGCTGCCGGCGTCCTCAGAGACTTTGCTCCCCGTCTCCCTGGTCTGCTGGGCTCCAGCAGACCAGGGAGACACGGAGCAAACCCCGTTCGTAACTGCGGATCCGACATAAGTAACTCGGGGATTGCCTGTATTGTAGGTATATGGTGGTGTCTTTATTGAGAGTAAGTTGCTAGGCCCTTTTGCACTCACTCTTTACTTTCCTATGCCTGAAGTGAGAAAGAAGTAGATTGCAGACAGACAATTGGCACGACTAAAGAAAACTTCAATGCAATGCCATACATATGTATTTATATAGTCCTCTGCAGGGCTTAATATTGCAAAGTGCTGAGCTCTTTGGCCTGGATCCTGCAAAGTACTTAAGCATATGTTTAACTTGATGCATATGATTAGTCTCATAGATTTCAATGGGACTATTCGTGTCCTGGATTGGGTCCATATTGCAGGATCAAACTCCCTGTTGTTTGCAGAACTACAGGTCCCCCTCTTAGGTCTTACTCCTTCTGCTAGTCAAGAGTTACTTCATGATCAATTTAGCAGTACACTCATTGCTACAGGATTGGGTTTGCCAGAGCACTCTGGCTGTGTCTACACTACAAAGAAAAGTCAGAAAAAGACACACAAATTGCAGTTTGCAATTTGCGTATCTTTTTCTGCTTTTCTTTTGGAAGAGGCTTTTCCGAAATGTGGTGCATCTACCTGGTGCCAAATTTCAGAAACACCTCCTCGTTTAGCATATCCCTTCTTCCTCGAACAACGAGGTCTACAGGGATGGTGAAAGAAAGCATCCGCTTTGCCAAAATTTTTTGGGGAAAAGTGAATGTGTTCCTTGGACACTGCATAGCTTTTCTGGGATACCTTTGGTATCCCGGAAAAGAGCTGCAGTATAGATATAGCCTCATTTAGCCTTAGTCTCACACTCATGCAGGGTACTTCATATCCTATGCTGTACAAGATCAAATGCTAAGCTATCTCTGGAATACTATTTCTTTTGCTTTTTGTGTAGAAATGTCACAAAATGAAATAAACCCAGAAATTAAAACCCACCATTTAAACTATTTATTAAGGGAGCACCAATTGTTTACAAGTTACCTTTAATAGTAACAGGTGGGAATTTTTTTATTTTTTCACTATTGTTTTCTATTGCTGTCTTTGCTATCTAAGAAGTAATATGGTCAAAGGTTCTATTACTGGCTTTGCAAATGATGACTGATTCCACAGCACTAAGACATCTCTTTGCTTTTAGATCCTGAAAGATATTTAGGTATTTAACTCGCATTGCACTCAATGGGCATTTTCTCTAAACACATTTGAGCATTTGGGCCTTTTGCCTCTTCACCTCAGTACTCCTATCATTAGAATAGGGATAATACAAATTTGTTATTTCCCTCAGAAGGGTGTGTTAATTTTTAAGTATTTGGGGTTTGTAAAATTCATTGGACATGTAGGACTAATAATTAGGTGTAATGCCTAATAAGTGGGTGTTCAGTGGTATGAGAGGAGTAATATTTATATATTTTCCTAGAATGATGTGGAAAAGCTAAGAAAGAAAGAAAATATATTTTCCTAGAATGATGTGGAAAAGCTAACAAAGAAAGAAAGAAAGTCACTTTGGTATATTAATTCCTAAGGCTGCTGTCATAACTTGCATTATTGTATTTTCTGTTTTGCAGTTTTACTGAAGAATGCAAAAAGAGAGGAGGACAAGCCATTCAGAGATTGTGCAGATGTGCACCAAGCTGGTTTTAACAAAAGTGGTGTCTACACTATTTACATTAATAATGTATCAGAGCCTAAAAAGGTAAAAAAATATATATTTGTATTTGGTTTTGTTTGTTGGTATAGATGTTGCTCTTGGTGTGAGGGAACATTCTGAATGGTTATGGAATCTTTATATTGGCCAAGTGCTGCATTAATAGAAATCACTTGGTCCATCTTCATCCTCAGAAAAATACTGGAAGGGGAAGGAAATGGGGTACCTTGCTTTGAATGAAACCTGACCCATTTGTCCTCTCCACTGGCTCAGACTCCTCCTGAAATATGAGCATATACCCCACAAAACATGATTTATCTTCTACCCCTCAGCAAATGCCTGGTCCCTACAACTGAGTTAGATACCTAGAAGGCAGCTCTATCAAATATACATGTCTCAGAAGACCAAGAAGAAACTCAGGGAAGCCAGTGGGGTTTTTCTGGGGACATGAATTGGTGGCAAAGCAAAAGGAACATTGAATGAAGCATTTTTCAGGTGAAGAGGGTAGGGTTTCGGGGTTTCTTTTAGGGAGCAGAGAAGAGCATGTGTTGGGCTGGAGAGAGAAGATTGAGGAGCTAGGATGAGAGAAAGGATGGTTTAGCAGAATTAGGAAGGCATGTGCTGACTTTAGTTAAACTGCAATCATCTTGATGATGATAAATCCAGAAGTAGTAGTAGCAATGACAAATTCCATTGTTTGCTTCTGATCTTAAATATCAAAGCCAGCTTCAGTTTACAACTATCTATCGAGTTTATATGAGGTCTACTTCTGAAATGAAATCTGTTTAGATAAAGATATTTCTTGAGGCTTGTAAGAATAGTCAGGGTATTTTATTAATTAAATATCCACCATTGAAAAATGATCATTATCTGTTTGTAATTAATCACTGATAGTTAGTTTCTATTACATTTCAGAAATATTGTTCAGAGTGAAATGCAGGGAAAAGGATAAACCGCCACTAGAAGAAGACTGTTAAGGCAATATTGACATAGTGATATATGAAAGGTGAATACACAAGATAATTGAGATGTCTATAATGAAACATGGAAAATCTTATTAGATGTTATCAAGTAGTGTAGAAACTGTTAAACTAGATTTGTAAAGGACTTGACAATAATGTAGGTTCAAGTCCACACTGACAAATTGACAGTAAGTTGCACTTGTGTGCGTTTTGTTTAAGGTTTTAAGCTGTCAATGAAAGCTTTGCTGCAAATTTTTAAATTCTGTCTGAATATCTGCAAGCTTTACTAATTACTGTTTTTGGAATGTTTAGTTTAAGACTAGCACTGGATTAGGTAACATTGGAAAAGTCACACTGTAGAAGTCAAAATAGTAGGGAAAATGTCTATAGCTTTAAGAGTTGTGGAATCAGGCAGTAAGTGGGCTAATACTTTTTGTAATTTTCTAGTAGTTTTCTTTGCTTAGTTTCATCCCAGCATTACTGTCAATTTCTCTGCCTCTTTGCTGTTTATGTCCTGCAGGTATTTGCAGATGATTGTCAGTAGAGCCCTGCAAATTTGCAGAAAGTCATTTTATATCCACAGGAATCGCATCAGTGGATGTGGATGTGGTTATCCATGTGTTATTTTTGCAGGCATGGATGCAGATAAAAATTTTGTATCTAGAACCCTGCACATTTGTGGCTATCCACATCCATTTTTGCAGATACAGATGTAGAGGTAGATACAAAATTGTATATGTGCTGCACATTTGTGGCTATCCACATCCATGGACGTGGATGCGGATAGCCATGGCTTATTTTTGCAGATACAGATGTAGAGGTGGATACAAAATTGTATATGTTTAGGGCTCTAATTGTCAATCCTGCTTACTCCCCCATTCCCTTCCCATCATAGTCATCATTTTACAAGTTATATTTATGTAATTATTTTAATTCTTCCTCTTTAATGTGTAGATATATTTAATATATAGAAGTAATTGGAAGTGTAACAATATTTTAAGCATTTATTCTGAGTTGTGAAACATTTTATATACTTAAACTGCTTATGTTTAAATTACTGAGGATACTTAGTCATTCTTTATACCATACCATTTTTGTACCTGATCTGATGGCCACTATTTAAAGTCACTAATATTAGTGAGTATTATATTGGAGTTATAAAGTGTTTTAATTGATAGATGGCTCTGATGGATCCCTCCTATGGATCAGTAAATGGTTAACATCTCGGAAACAAAGGGTAAGAATACATAATCAGTTTTTAGAATAAAAAGAGGTAAATAGTGGTGTCCCCCAGTTATCTGTACTGCGGCAAGTACTATCAACACATTCATAAATGATCTGGAAAAAAAATCTGTGTTTGTCTTCAAAAGGCTATTTTAATGCTAAAAATTCCTTTAACCCATAAACCTAAAGTGAATGTAATTAAATTGATGTGTGTTATGAATAACTACTTTTTTCATCCAGGCCTATAAGCAGAGGGAAATGTTTAGTCCTTTTGGAGTCCTCTTCATCTGAATCTGTAAAAAAATAATTATTCTCATCATAAGAAATCCACCAGCTACACATGCATACAAATACAGTTATTCAATTATCACCTCTTCTTTTGTCCAGGATTAAACCTCAAAACATGGTAATAGGTGTTTAATGGCTGAATGCCTTGATCTTATCTGGGACAAGAGCCCATTCAAGCCTTTTGTTGGCTAGAACTATGCAAAGCTAACATTGATAATCCACTTGGCATTCTTGTTAGTATGGCAGGTGTTCATATTCACCACCATGGAAAGTGCCAGACCACACAATGGTGACTAATGCATAATTAGGTGCTATAAATTCCTCCGTTATTACACAATCCCTCTTTTTAATTTGCTATGTCACTCAAAGAACATGAAAACTTATTTTATAAGAATTTTCAATACAGGAAAATCTTACATTTTATATCTTCTTCTATATTAAAATATTAACATTCTAGAGAAAGGCTTAATGCATTAGAAAAATTAATACTAGATTCTGGGGATCTAGACTTGAATTTTAAATAAGGCACACTTATCAGTTATAAATGCCTACTGCAAATCAGACTCAGTCCAAGAAAACTAAATCCTATAGAAAAAATGGTTTGACTTTACTGAAGGAAGTTTTGAGCCAAAATGTCTAAAAAATAGTGTTATTTTAATTGTGAGATTGAATCAGGTTCACGTCTTTGCAGTGTTCAGAATTCTCAGTTCCCCCTACAAGTACCAGGGGACCTAGCAAATTCAAACAGTGGAGTAATCACAGAGCATCAGTATGAACAATATATCATAGAGTGAAAAAATAGAACTGATTTGTTCTTTGGTTGACTAATATATAAGAACATAAGAATGGCCATACTGGGTCAGACCAAAGGTCCATCTAGCCCAGTAGCCTGTCTGCCGACAGTGGACAGCACCAGGTGCCCCAGAGGAAGTGGACCGAAGAAAAGCGATTTTTCTCATGCCATCTATCTCCAGCCTCTGACAAACAGAGGCCAGGGACACCATTTCTAACACCTGGCTAACAGCCTTTTATGGACCTAACCTCCATGAAATTATCTAGCTCCTCTTTAAACTCTGTTATAGTTCTACCTTCACATCCTCCTCTAGCAAGGAGTTCCACAGGTTGACTATGTGCTGTGTGAAGAAGAACTTTCTTTTATTAGTTTTAATCCTGCTACCCATTAATTTCATTTGGTGTCCTCTAGTTCTTCTATTATGGGAACTAATAAATAACTTTTCTTTATTCACTCTCACCACACTACTCATGATTTTATATACCTCTATCATATCCCCCCCTCAGTCTCCTCTTTTCTAAACTGAAAAGTCCCAGTTGCTTTAGCCTCTCTTCATATGGGACCCATTCCAAACCCCTAATCATTTTAGTTGCCCTTTTCTGAACCCTTTCCAAGGCCAAATATCTTTTTTGAGGTGAGGAGACCACATCTGTACACAGTATTTAAGATGTGGGCGTACCATAGTTTTATACAGGGGCAGTAAGATATTCTGTGTCTTATTTTCTATCCCTTTCTTAATAATTCCTAACATCCTATTTGCCTTTTTGTCCGCCGCTGCACACTGTGTGGAAGTTTTCAGAGAACTATCCATGATAACTCCAAGATCTCTTTCCTGATTTGTCGTAGCCAAATTAGCCCCCTATACTGTAAATATAGTTGGGGTTATTTTTTCCATTGTGCATTACTTCACACTTATATAATACTTGTTATTTAAAGGAACTGGATAATGACCATCAATTGATAAACCAAAGAATATTAAATTGCTAGCCAATACTTCCATGCTGATTGATATGATTACAAAATGCTAGACTGATTAATCAGAACTTTTCAACTCTTTGCATAAATGCACACCTTATTTCACAGGCAAAGGTAGCTTTCATTAAAAAATGAAAACTTGAAATAGTCACAGGGCCACCAAGGAACTTAATGAGAGCTTTACTGTGAAATCATGGTAGGATGCTGTCGTAGAATTACAGAACTGGTCATACAGAGTCCAGGAATAGTCACACATTTTTCCACCCTTACTTTCTCCACTTTCTCTTTACCTTTTGTATGTTGCTTGCCCACTTACAGTGTGTCTAAACTACCTCATGAAACTAGGTTTACCTGCGCCGGTCGACAAAGGCTTCCTTGTTGATAGCGGCGCGTCCAGACTGCCCCGATCTGCCAACAAACAGCTGATCGTCAGCTGGTCGGCAGAGCGCGGCAGCCATTTAAATTTAAATGAAGCCGCGATTATTTAAATGGCGGCTTCATTTCCCTCTGCCAATCAGCCTAATCTACATGGCTCCATCGATGGAGCCATGTAGTTTAGACACACCCTTAGACTGTAAATTCGTTGTGTCATTGGGAGATTACAACACCATATGTGTTATACTTTGGGTACAGCTAGGAGTTAATTAAGAAAGAAAACCACTTGTAAATAATGTATAATCTTTTGTACCTTTTTGGCTTCACTGTGCCTCATTTTCCAGTGTTTTTGGTCATTCTTTCCTATCCGGTATAACACTGTGCTACAAGCACTAGATAATATTGATAAACTGAAAAACTACTACTGTTTCAAGACTATTAAGGAAAGTTGTCTTCTTTTTGTTTGAGTGGATATGATTTTGAACTAGTATCATTGTTTTCATTATTACCTAGGTCTTTTGTAATATGGAGATTGCAGGAGGAGGATGGACAGTTATACAACACCGAGAAGATGGGAATCTGGATTTTCAAAAAAACTGGAAAGAATACAAAATGGTAAGGGCGAACAATGTACTGTAAAGTTAGAAATGTAATCACTAGAATCATCAGAAAACAATGTATTCAGAAAGAAAATTTCTAGACATATTAGAAGCTGTTTCTTGGAGCAGCTTGTCCGAGAACCTACAAGGGGAGAGGCAATTCCTCATTTAGTCTTAAATATAGCACGGAATCTAGTCTGAGAAGTGAATACAGCTGAATCAATTTGGTAATAGCAACCACATTGTAATTAAATTTCAAATCCTGGTAGGGAGAAAATGTCAAAGAATCCCACTACAGTAGCATTTCATTTTTTTTAATTATAGAAAAACATGATAAACTCATTAAATGGAAATAAAAATGAATAGTCAAAAGACTGAAATGCTTGCAAATTGCATGGAGATTACTTAAAAACACCACAGTAGAGGATCAAAATAAATACATACTCCACATTTTAAAAACAATTAAAAAATGCCAGCAGTTTAAGGGGGTTACGATAGAAATTTGTGAAATGACATATGGCATGGAGAAATGAAATAGGGAGGTGTTATTTACTCCCTTCACATAACACAAGCACAAGGGGTCTCTGAATGGATTTAACAGGCTGCAGATTTAAAACAAACAAAAGGAAGAACTTCACACAATGCAGTGTCAACCCGTGGAACTTGTCAAATTCACACAATGCAGTGTCAACCTGTGGAACTTGTCAAAGAATGATGCAAAGGCCAAAAGTCTACTTGAGTTCAAAACCTAATTAGGTGTGCTCATGGAGGACAGGTCTAAGAATGGCTATTAGCCAAGATGGTCAGAAACATAACCCCATGCTCAGGGCATCCCTTAACCTCCAACTGCTAGAAGCTGAGACTGGACAGAATGGGATGGATTACTCAAAATCTGGTTTTGTTCATTACTTTTAACACATCTGGCACTGGCCAGTGTTAGCAGGCAAGACACTGGGGCTACGTCTACATTGCATCCCTCCTGCATGATAGCCTATGCAAATGAAGCACAGATTAGCATATTGCCGCACTTCATTTGCATAATTAATTATGGGCCGTTTTTGCGCAAGAGGCTTTTGTGCAAAAAGGAGTCATCTACACAGCTCCTTTTTGCGTGAAAAAAAAAACCCTCTTCCATAAGAGCTTTTCTTTATGTTTTCAGGAAGAATGGCTCTTGCACAAGAGGGTTTTTTTTCACAAAAAGGAGCATTGTAGACAGCTCTATGCTAATCCACACTTCATTTGTATAGGCTTTTGCACAAGAGGGATGCAGTGTAAACAGAGCCTGGACTAGATGGATCATTGGTCTGACCCACTATGTTCCTGTAGGAGCTTGGCTCACCTGCCAACTATAAAGAGCTTTCCCTCCCTTTCCAGGTTTTCAGAGTACTCCCTCAGCCTCTCCCAAAGCCCTACCAAACTAATGTCTTTTGTGAACTATATGTTAAAATGAGTAAGATGATCGTAGTGAGCTAAGGATTAATAAGAAAAAAGTGTGCTGCAACTATATAAAGTAATATATTGGTATATATGCTCAAATTTCTCATGCTGCAGACATTACAAGTTTTGTATAGGAAAATGTATTTATGTTGAGCAAATAGCATATAAGTAGGGCATCAAAGTGATCCACTTCTTCCAAGTATTTACAAAATAACATAGGATTTAGGAAGTGAGTTTTAGTTATTGGAATGCAGATTCAGATATTCTCTGAGTATAACCTTTTATGGAAATCAACTCCTCCTTGATAAAGAATTGTGTGGCGTAACACTTTGCTAAATAAACATTTGTCTTTTTAACTGAAGTGATTACTCAGTGGTTTGTCACATTCAGTGGGTGGTATAGAAAGAGAAAGCATGTTCTCATTTCTCCTCTAAGGTGAAAATCTAGCATGATTTATACTGCCCAGTGATGGTAGGCAACTCCATGTGTCTGGACGCAAATTGTCGACGGAAGTTTTGTCGAAAGTATCTGTCGACAAAACTTCCGTCGACAAAACGCGGTAGTCTAGACGTACCCTTGGTTATTGGAATGAAGATTCAGATATTCTCTGAGTATAACCTTTTATGGAAATCAACTCCTCCTTGATAAAGAATTGTGTGGCGTAACACTTTGCTAAATAAACATTTGTCTTTTTAACTGAAGTGATTACTCAGTGGTTTGTCACATTCAGTGGGTGGTATAGAAAGAGAAAGCATGTTCTCATTTCTCCTCTAAGGTGAAAATCTAGCATGATTTATACTGCCCAGTGATGGTAGGCATGGTATGAAAGTAGGTGGATGAGAGCTAGTGTGGATATGTATTTATATGATGCTTTGTATGGTAACTGTTATCTTAGCTATCTCAAGAAATTGAACCCGGGGCCTCCAGAATTAAAGCATGACTTTCTATAATTTCAGTTAAAGGCTTAGAATCTGTCCTATTTGACCTCAGTAGGACTAAGGTAGTAGCTGATGGTCTGTTCTCTATAAATCATGTAATTATATTCCCTTTTTCTATATTGCATTTCAGAGTATGGTTTCTAGGGCTCTCCTCTTATTATTTTGCATAGGTCATAAGTTCTGATGAAGAATATATTGTTAAAAATACTCACTGTAGAGTAGTGCTCCCAATGTTTTCCATGTGCATTTCAAAATAACTACACGAAGGCTGTCTACACTACACTGCTCTTCTGGAAAAAGCTATGCAAATTGTGAACCTCAATTTGCATAGCTTTTTCTACTTCTTTTTTCAAAGAGGCTTTTCCAACATTTGGCCAAACGACACTGGGCCAAATGTCAGAAGAGAAGACATGTTCCCTGGATGCGGCAGTTTTTCCAGGATTCCTCTGGTATCCCAGAAAAACTCGGTAGTGTAGCCATAGCCTAGGCTTTGGATCAAGCCCAAAGTACCCTACCTGCCAGGTATCTCAGATTCATATCTTTTGAATCAAGTACCAAGGGAGATTTCTGCCACACTGGAAGCAAACTACACTTGTTCCCTTAATTTATAGTATATTTTTGCTACTGAATGGGAAGTTAAATATATTCTTTTGTTTGAACTGAGTCATGCTGTAATTATGCTTTAAAATCCTATCTAGCACTGTCCTCCCTGCACAAATTTGACTGGATAACATCTGTTTCAGGAATTGTGTTGATATGTGGCTATATATTCATGTGTCTGCCTACAATATTTCAATCTGACACCATTAACATATGTTAACAACACCCATGTGTGGTCTTTCCAAATCAGAAAGGACAGGAAAGGTTCATTTATGCAGAAAGATTGTTAGCTGTTGAATAAAGTAAACTATTCAGTATTCCTTATATGTTACGCTTCTAATTTTTTTTTAATGACATAATAATTCATATGTCACCTTTATGTAGCTCTCTCATTGGATTACTGCAGATACTGATTTTTGGTTAATTAAACAAACAGGTTAATGACAGATTATAATGTTATTTTACAACTAAGCGATTTTCTGACAGCAAAGTAACAAGCTGACTACCACAGCAAGCCCATTTTGTCTTTTTTTACACTTCACACACATTTACAGAGGGCTTTTACAGAGCTCTCCCTTTTACAGAAATCCAGTGGCATCTGGGAAAGGGTATGAACAAAGTAACCTTCTGCAGGAGCCTCAGCACTTTACAGTGGAAGTGAGTGCTGTGTCCATTTTAGTTAAGCGGTGTGGAAAGTAGCACTAAATACAGGCCTGGGGAAGGGTCAGTAGATGTCACATAGGGATCTTGGAGGGTCAGCAGCTAATATTCTGCTGCATTGGCGTAAGTAGCAGTTGGTCTGCCCTGAAAAACTGGCTTCTGGCCCTATTATCCCTGCATAAATTCTGTTTACCCAGGCTTTGTATGGGAAATGGGGAATTTAAGTTTTGATTAATCCGCTTAAAAAAAAAATTCTCATTTCCCAGCAAATATTGTACCACGTGACCAAGAATGTGGGCCCCCATTTTTCAAACCTAGGTGCTTAAATCATGGCATTTTATTCTGCATTTGGAGAGGCAACTGACTTTCCAATCTTATTTTAGTCATTCTAGAAGGTAAATTACAATTTTTAACTCGGAGCATCCTAAAAACACATCACAATATTAGTTTAACACACTGTTTTATCAAAAATTCTTATCTTTGGCACGGTGAAGCACATTAAAGACACTACTACAGACCAAAACATAATATTCAATAAGAACATTGTGCATAAGCCAATGTGTTGGAAATTGAGAAGTCTACTGACTTATCCCAAAATTATCTTCACAAACATTCAAAGTCTATTCCGTATTCTCAGCTAAGGCACACGGAGCTGATTATTCTTTATGGCTTTTGGGAAGACATCCCTGCTGTAAAACACTGAATTATTAGATGTTTTCTTCAGTGAGTTGTCTAACAGGAGATGAACCCGCAGGATATACTGACTGTGTCTGGTTTCAATTTTTGTTTTGTCTATAAAAAGTCAAAGCTTCCTATGAGTATTATCAGGCAAAATAAATAAAGTAAGAGAGATAATTGTTTAATGAACTTGGAGAAACATGATTCAAGTAGAATACCCTTACAGATTTTGCCAAAGCTAATAAAACTCTTTTGCACCATACTTATTATTTTTGAATAAATGTCAACTTTGTGAATTCTGAAGGTCACTTCTAAAACTAGTCTTGAATTCAGCTTCTTTGTACCGCTGACTGCTTTTGTTATTTTGATTCTGTTAATCACAGTGCAATTAAAGATGAAGCAAGACAGACTTTGGATCGTATTTGCTAACTAGTGTAAATATTATAAAATATTACAAGATTGCCTTTGATTCCTGGTTAATATGTTTTTATGGATTAGTATTGTAGTGAAATGCTGCTAGTTTTGCTTTTTGTAAAGCACTTGTGCAGTATATCAGAAGCTATAGTATTTGCTCTTTTTTTACTCAAATGTGTACACTGGTGTGCAAATAATTACAAGAAGTATTGGATCATGTCATTTCTACACTTTAGAGACAAGCATAAACTCATGTTATTAAACCATGTATAAAATAATTCTAATGAAA